TGTGTGGGGGGGGTGGGTGCAGGAAAGCTGCCCGCAGCTCCGGCCTGAGCAACACTCCTGGCTGGGCACATGTCTTATCCCACTGCATCGCAATAGTAGTTCCTCCAGAACGTGCAGCTTTAATTCTTTCCTCAGTAGCTGTCACCGAGTGAAAAATAAGTCCAGATTGTTGAAACCAGCGCTATTTGCTGATTGCATCCTAAATGCGGGGCCTATATAGAAAGCTCACTAAAGATTCATAAAAGTCATGGCCTCATCAAGCATGCGCAGCAACCTCTATTTAGGGGCCAGCTCAATGTTAAGGGACTCTTGCCTGTGCAAGGATTATAGGATTGGGCTGTGCTGGGTGAAGAAAAAGAAACTTTCACAGAATGGACTGACACGTTACAGAAGAAAAAAACTGTAGTCAAGAAATGGCCAGAGATGATGTACACAGCTTTTAAAGTGTACCAAAGGAGTAGCCGAAGATGTCAGAAAAGATCTATGCAATGGGGCTGGAAACTGTGAGAAAGAAGGTAAATCACTTCACTTCCTAGGAGTCACACTTATACAAGTTCATAGTCTGACAATATATCTGACAATAACTTTGAGTTACCTGGAAACAACTATTTATCCAAGGCCAGAAGACTTCCCTTCTACTCAGTGATACCATTCAACATAATTACATAGATGGCATGTTCTCCAAGAGGAAGGAGAAAAAAAAAAAAAAAGAGCGTTTAAAGAGTACTTTGGAAAATTTTACAAAGAGCTTGAGTTTTGCGGGAAGCCAGCATGATTTAGGTGCTTATGAAAAGCTGCTTTTAAAGATTTTATCCAAACCAGTCAGGATGAGATAGTGAGATTTTTAGGACCTGCTCAGCACCTCTGAAAATAAAGCCTGCAAGGCATTAGTGTTTTGTTCTTGAATTTGACCTCTATACGGTACAGTCATCCATTCCATAATGAATTTTTGGCTATAGTATAAAATAATGCATAACAACTTAGTTTTATTCCCAGCGAGTTAATTGGCCATACATGTTTGTAAGGCATGTAAACAAGCAGAGCTATAGCCTAGAAACACAACAGGACATGTAAGGACCTGGAACGGCTTGCAATCACTGTGCTCCTGTGAAACTGCTTGCAGACAGGGACATGCTTTGAAAGCGCCCTTATTAAAGACCTCCTTCTGTTCCCACTGTGCCTGGGGAGGCGTGCAGGGCCTGTTTTTAATTTGGGGAAGAGCACTGCTTGACCACCATCTGAACCACTCACGAGCTCTTTGCAGAGGGTGACAGTTGTCTCCAGAGCTGCAAAAGATCAACCCCCTCAACACTCAAAGGAGGGGGAACAACTGAGAAAACTAAAATGGTGTTATAATTTTTTTTTTTTTTAGGCCTTCCTGCAAAGTTTTCTTTGCCAAGGACCCTCTGAAGATAGTGTGTGCTCAGGGCCAATATATGTTTGATGACAAAGGAGAAAAATACTTAGACTGTATCAACAACGTTGCTCATGGTAAGCAGTTTAACTTGTAGGACTGCTTCTATTGCTTCATTTCTAATAGGGATCAGAACACACTTCTTCCAAGTGATGATGTTCACAGTGCTTCTCTGAATTTCTTTGTGTGGTTCAGTAACTGACTGCTTGCTAGTAATAACTCATTATTTTCTTCTTCAGTCGGCCACAGTCATCCACACGTGATAAAGGCTGCAACAAAACAGATGGAACTGCTCAATACAAATTCTCGGTTCCTGCATGACAACCTTGTTCAGTACGCACAGCGTCTTACAGCCACCCTGCCCGAGAAACTCTCTGTTTGCTATTTTGTTAACTCTGGGTATGTCTGAGTATTTATTTTTTTTTCCATTATGACTATTTTGCTTCTGTTTGAAATGGACACTCAGAGCAGCTGGGTCTAAATCTTACTAAATAGGACTTATTAATAAGCCACAATAATATTTCCAGTACTGATCGAAGGATCCTTCCTATTTGCAGGTGTCATATTTAGTGTGATGGCCCAATGCAAGAGAGCCAAAACATGAAACTGGTCTACTGAATGCTATGCAAAAAAAGGGGGGGGGAGGGGAAACAAGAAAAGGAAATTAGACTGCAAATTGGTGAACACTATGTACAGATTAGTGAATGCTATCTGTAAATTGGCATATGACCTTGGAAACGAGTAGTCTTCTTCAGGCGGTTCGTTTAGTCTGTGATCACTTATGTTGCCAGAACAGACAACCTGCAGGGACTTGTGAGCCGACGGGCTGCTATGGGTCAGGCTAGAAGTTTGAGTCTTCATCTGGGGAGCAGATCTGCATTCTCAGCTGCCTGGTGGTGCAAGCGCTGGGGAGGATGGAGCTGTTGTGGAGAGTGGGAGATGGGGCTGGCACACTGTTGCCTTTTGAGGGTTGGTGGCTGCATTGTGCTCTCCAGCTGCAAAGCAATCTCATTTGTACCAAGAGGAGGTAAATGTCTACAAGCAAACTGGAGGAGGGAAAGAAAGCATCTCTTTGTTTGCTGTTTACACAAAGAGCTGTTTTTTCTTTGCCCTCTTACATGGTATTTACGGTCTCAACCTTAGCATTGTAATCTGTATAGTAACAGAGCCTGCTGTGTTGACTTATTATATCCATTAGTCCCATGCCTCTTCTTCTGTGTCAGAATACCATTTTAATTGGAAGTGCTTCCTCACTATTTTGTGGCTGTATCTGTTACTATGCAGGTCTGAAGCAAATGATCTTGCTTTACGACTGGCTCGGCAGTACCATGGGCACCAAGACGTGATCACCCTTGAAAAGTAAGTACATAGAATAGCTTATGTGAATGCAGCCAGCAACTCCTGTCTTTACTTCAGAAGCAGCTTTGCAGCAACCCCCTGCTGTTTGTAGTTCACTGCCTGCTGAAAGAAAAGCTTTGTTGCTTTCATACTAGAACAGGTCAGGAAATCCCTTTTCCACATTTGGATAAATGCAAGTTTTGAAGATCTCTGAAAAATAAGCTTGTCAGTCACCCTAGAAGGTCAATCACCTGTTATAGGGCATTTCCCACAGAGCCTCCCAAAGCAATTCAGGCCAGAGACTTGAATGTTGGATTTCAATGTCAATGAGTGGTCTGGTCACTGGGCTGCTCTGGAAAAGGGCCTTCTGTTTGTCACGCCTTGCTGGACATGTTTCTTTTTGTACAAATAAATATTCAGTGGTCAAGAAGAAAGATCCTGGAGCTCTGCAATGGTGCTGCACCGATGCTCAGATCTCCTTCAGTGAACACAAGTGCACACACAAAACCAAGCAGCTCCAAAATCAGGAGGCATTGAGAGGGCCGTCAGCCATGGGGAAGGTGGCCGACCACGTCTCTGGGTTTCCATATCCTAGATGCAGCTGTAGGGTTGGTTACACTGCTGTAGGGCTGGATCTTCTTCTCAGACTGTGATTAGAAAGTCCAGCCAGAGCAACTGCAAGAGCACGTGTCTCTGTCTGAACGGCACAAAGCTTGTTTGACTCAGCTGTGCTCAGATCCCTGTTAGCCTTCCTTGACTCACGTGGCCAAGATTTAGAGCTGCTGAGAGTAGCTTCCATCAGGAGAGGCTGAGGATGGAGCTGGCTCTGTCACTGTTTCACTGCCATGTCTTGTCTTCCTGAACACCACAGGGTATTTCTTTGCCCAGGTCCCAAGGCTCTGTAGGCTTTTGCCATAGCGACCATCCCAGTCAGGATGAGCTTTCTGTCCTTTCTTTGTGTCCATTGGCAGATTTTGTTGACTGGCTAGTAGGAAGGTGTAAAGAAGACAAAGGAGTTCAAAAAAACATCCTCTCTACCCTATGTGTGTGCTACTATGAGATCGTGACATGTCTTTGATTTGGTTTGAGGTTCCCCTCGCTTCAAGTTTATGGGTGAATGAAAGTGTTTATTCCCTGAAAGAAGCTGCTACATGCTTTAGGTTCAAAAGGCTCTGTTTCCTCATTTCTAAATCAAGTTGGCCTCAGTAGTAACCAGCTTTAGCATACTCTGCAGTATAAAGCTTTTATATTCAAACAATATTCATCCTTATCCTGAAAGCGGCTTCTGCCAAACAGTCTAGACTGTAGGGCCTTTGGGGCAGGTAGTGGTGTGCTGCTGCTCCATAAGATCCCCACTTTCCAATGCAATGCATGCTCTTGAGAGTCTTTGCAATGGTGTTGGGGTCTAGCTTGCAAAGCTTGGGTTGGCCAGAGTGGGGTCCACAGGCTGGAAATGAGGGAACTGGACCCCCACTTCAACTGCTAGGTAAGGCTGCTAGGGCAGCCACCTTAGGGGCAGTGCAGTCCATGGGTCATCTTGGTCTGTCCTCATGCTGGTACTTGATGTTATGCAAGAAAAAAAAAAAAACAAACCCTCCTGGTTCCAGTCTTGCTAGTGAATTAAAGTCAGCAGCAACTTCATATTGCCTTTGAGAGAAGGACTAAATTAAATCAAGATCCCTTCACAAACAGTGCTACTGTGTTGCAGATACAGTTGCTTATTCTGGATTATTTATGGGCACAGTTGTAAATTTAGCTCTTCTATATATTTGGCGAAAAGTGACTTCGATATTTAACACTCATGCAGTGCTTACCATGGCCATGTTACATCTCTGATTGACATCAGTCCCTATAAATTTAATCAGCTGGGAAAGGACAGCAAGAAGGAGTTTGTGCATGTGGTAAGTGTAGTTTTTTGCTTTTTGTCATTTTTATGCCTGTTATGCAGCATATTGAATTACCCACTTCTGGTGTAAATATGCTTTCACTCTGTTTTGCTGATGCTAGAGTACCTATACTTGGCTGTTTGTCAGTGGATTACATACAGCAAAATTGTTTGCTTTTGGATTTTACAGAGGGTATTTTAGCTGTGAGGCTGATTTCCTTCAGTGCTACAAGCTTCCTGAGTCACTGCACTGTATAGTTACACAGTTTGAAGAAATTAGCCAGTATCTGTTGTGTTGGTTTGACTAAAGATATGCAGGACTTTTGAGTCTACTTCAAAAGACTGGAAAGGCAGACCCCACAAGTTCACACAGATCTGGGTATAGAGCTCATGGGTGTCCAGCTGATACTGTTTGATTTTCAGCCTGCACTTGTGTATCTTACAAAGACAAAAATCATTCTCAGCCCAGAGATGTACACCAAGCAGGTCTTTCCTATCTAGACCTCCTTGCATTAACCACACTGCCAAAGTAGTATCCACCTTTTTATACCACTTCCTTTCTCTTATTTACTGAACATCTGCCAACACTGTTTGTAGAGGCTTGAAGGTCATACAGATTCATACCATGACTAGGACGCTGGAAGGGACGTGACAGACTGGAAAACCCCATTCTCCAGTTGCAGAAATGGATCTTTCTGCAAGAATCTGAAATAAAATGATGGACACCAGCATTCAGTATTGTGTCTTGGGGGAGAGGACAGACAGTCTTGAAAGGTGGATGAGGTAGATGATGGCTTTTTCAACAGTTGGGTCCAGTAATGTTGAACACTTCACATGGCGGGATTGAGTTTAAGCTCCTGTAAGGATTTTTGCAATACCATGCAGAAATTCAGGCTGTACTAACTCCTGTTATCTATCTGTGTGGAAAGACAAAAGCTCAGAGCAATAGAAAAGGAAGTAAATGTTTCATAGAAGGATGGGCATAAAAAAAAATAAAAATAAAATTGGTCTTTTCAGGCTCCTTCTCCAGATATCTACAGAGGAAAATATAGGGAAGACCACCCAGATCCAGCAAGTGCTTATGCTGAAGAGGTGAAAAAGATTATTGAAGAAGCACAGAAGAATGGACGTAAGGTGTGTGTCTTGTGCTCTAGAAATGCTGAGGCTTCATCTATTAAGTGTGACATGGGGGCATGAAACAGGCAACTAAGGACATGTTTCTTTACTCATGTTCCCTTGCTTCCCCCGCCCTTCATTTTTCTGTGGTGGGTTCTATGGTCAAAATGGGCCATTTTTCCACCTGATGCTCTTAGCACAGTTTCTCTAGACATCAATGAAAGGATCAATAATACAGTTCTAAATAAGCAGCTACAACCAAAGCAGTTTAATTTCCTTTTTTATGCATTGAATCAGTAGATTGTAAATATCTTAGGGCAAGCTTTGAGGTCAGCTGAGAAACTACATCACAAATTCTAGCAAGGATATATAAAAGTCTCCAGGCCATGGAGAAAATATGCTAGATAAAATTTGATACTACATTTCTGAGTCTAGTAGATTAAGATAACTTTGGAGTCATCTAAAAAAGGTGAACCTTTCGATCATATACAGTATGACCTTGATAAAACCCAACAATTTCTGAACAGGTTTACCTAAAATGTGTGTTAATGTTTTGTATGATGGCATGAGTGTTTTGAGACATGTAGGGCTTGATCCAAATCCCACTGAAGTCACAGAAGGCTTCAGTGGAGATTGGAACAACAAGTTCCCTTCTAGTCCAATGGACTTACATCACTCTTCTTTTAGTTTCTTCATCAACTTTTTTTTACTCTCTACTAACGGATAGTTTTGTTTTTTTCTTCCCTTGTTTCCTTTCTTTTGCATATTTCTTAGGTTTTGGTGACATAGACCTGTGGCAGGACAAGTTGTGCTAAACGCTAAGCCTCACATGCTATGGGAAGCTTCATACTCTTTGGCTGTAGCATGCCTCTTCAAATATAGTATACGGTTCTTTACACGTTACTGCTCGGCCTTGTTTCCAGGAAGACTGCACCAGCCCAGAGAGACCTCTTGATGCTCAGGGAGGGGTTCACAAGTGGTGTGGGGATGCAATCCCTTAAATAGCAGACTTATGCTGAGACTTTGGGGTAATATCGTATCTCTGCTGCATAGACCTCTGCTGTTGACAAGAAACGAATTTTGATGTTCCAGTGTATCTGATCTGCTGCTCTTACCCTTCCTGACTTGAAATAACTTTCTTTTTCATTCCTAGCAACTGGAATTATTTCACCTGTAGAATTTTTCTCCTCTATTGTCAAGTGCCTCGTGCTGACATTTTACTTGTGTAGTTGTTTGCATTAGGCAGGGGTGCCCAAAGTGTAGCCTCAGGTCATCTTACAGTTCAGCTTTTACCCACCTCTACCTGGTGTTCAGGATTGAACAAAAAAGCTGATCACAACATATAGATGTTACTGGAAAGCCTTGGCATTAAGCCAATTTCATTAACCTCTTGGGGAAAATGGCAAACACTGTTGTGTGTCTCCTGTAAATTGAAATTTGTAAATAAATTTACAGAGCTCCCAGGAGCCTGATTCAACGTCCACTGACACCAGTAGGTGTTTTCCACCTCAACAGCTGTAGGACTAGGGCTTAACGAAGGTCCTTGTATTCCCATCAGGTTACAAAGGTGGCCCTGGCTACTGCAAATTTGGGCACCCCAGATTACAAAATGAATAAATTCTTTAACCATAGCTGTTCTAAAGAGCCCTCAGTTGTCCAACCCATTGCGTGATTAAATTAAGGCATACATTTAAACGTTTATTTCTAGACTGTTAGATGTTTGTGCAAAGGTGGAGTAGAGGAACACAGCTCTCACCTGAGTTTGTTTTTTGTAGATTGCTGCCTTCATAGCCGAATCCATGCAGAGCTGTGGAGGCCAAGTAATTCCACCTGTGGGCTATTTCCAGAAAGTGGCAGAGTACGTACATCACTTCAAAAGGGCACAACTGGAAAATTAACCAAAGAAACAGGTTTTTCACTATGGGCTTATCCAATCAATTCAACTGTCACCCTCTCTTGTTCTTGGCTGTATGTGGTTCCTTTCTACTTTTTGAAGAGTGTGATTCCACTTCTGCTTTTTATGGAACATCACCTGACTAGCTGTTTTGAGCTGGATAATTGCCTTTCCTTTTCTGTCTTTAATCCTCAGGCCATAAGTTTGATAGAAGATGAAGTTGAACCATCATAGATACAACCCTGCAGTACCATTACAGTACCCCTAATTTGCATCAAAATACCAGATTTTTTTTCTTAACATTTAGCAAACTAAAAATTTTATCAATTGAAATAGCTATAGCTGTGTTTCAGCAGCCACGTTCTTTCTTTTTTTCCTAACCTGGTCTCACACTGGAGAATTTGTGTAATACAAACTCCTTTGTCCTAGATTGCCTACCCAAGACATGTACCGCAGCACTAATCATTCAAACTATTCTATTTGTTTTCAGGTATGTGCGTGCAGCAGGTGGACTGTTCATAGCTGATGAGGTCCAGGTTGGCTTTGGCAGAGTTGGGAAGCATTTTTGGGCGTTCCAACTGCAAGGCGAAGACTTTGTGCCTGACATTGTCACCATGGGAAAGCCCATTGGCAATGGCCACCCTATGTCTTGTGTGGTCACAACAAGGGAAATCGCTGAAAGTTTTGGTGCCTCTGGAATGGAGTATTTCAATACAGTAAGTTCGTAGGTGAAGGTATGCCTTTTTTTCTTTTGGTCTGCATTTAGCAGTTAGAAGTTGTTCAGGTGACTCAGCTAACATCTACATCCATTACTGCATCACATTACTAAGAGTTCGAGTCAACCACAGTCTAAGATCTAAAAGCAAGTGTAGAGGCTTTGAAATATGCTCTGTACTGAGTAGCATATCTTAATGTGGACCAGCACTAGCCCTCTGGCAAGTCATGCATCTCAGCTCACCTTCATACAAATAAATTCTTCCTTACTTTTCTCTCTCTCTCTCTTCCCCACTCTGAAATGTTGACCGTGTAAAATTTCATTTTCTGGGATAGGCTCTGTGCTGGTGAGGCTCATGCCCTGGCAGACCTTGCTCTGCAGTTGTTACCTAACAAAACAGCGACCCTTTACCAGGAAACATTTGAGCTGCGTGCATGCCACAGAGGAACAGCTTTCTTCTTTACCAAGTGTTCTTTCTGCTTCTGTGACTGAGCCTTCTTCCCAGCTACCATGAATCCCCCTGGAGTTTATACCCTCTGGTTGAAGAAGTCACCCACTGCCCTTCACAGGAATATTTTGCCTGCATATGCAATCAGCTAACCATGAGAGCAGCTTGAATGCTTCAGCTGTGAAATCTTCAAATTACTGAAACCCGAAGCAGAGGAAGAGGGAGCCCCTCTCCTGGGCCTCTTACACTGCCCAAAGTGGTGGGCATGGTGCTCCACAGCCCGTGCGGCACAAAATTGCCACCACTTCAAGCTTTCCTCACAACATGCCAAGCAGGAGAGGCAAGTGAAAACTACATGGATAGACACAGATGAACGTTTCTGATGGGTTTTGTTTTCCTATTTGTCTTTACTGTCAGTTTGGAGGCAATCCAGTGTCTTGTGCTATTGGTTTGGCTGTGCTGGAGGTAATAGAAAAAGAAGATCTCCAAGGAAATGCTACACGCGTAGGAAATTACCTCCTGGAATTGCTGGCTGAGCAAAAGGAGAAACACCCCTTAGTGGGAGATATCAGGTAGGTGCCTTACAGCAATGTCAGAGAAGAATAAATGTGCTAGAAAAATAAACAAGTTTAGGGTGAGGGGAACACAGAAACATTATGTCATGATTATGCTACACCTCTTTTTTAAAATGGACTACCCAAAACTGATACTGTAAGGCAGTGCATTTTTCAAAAAAGTCATCCATCCATCTGCTTGCTTAGGTGTAAGCATAGCCACTAGAAAAGCTCTGGGAGAGAAGAGCCATCCATGTGCAATAGCCCAGTTGTCAGCACACTATTGGGACGATGGAGACCTTATTCAAATCTCTGGGCCATTTCATTTGGAGATGTTAGTGTGGGTTTTCCTCATCTCATGTTACTACCAAGATAATTGCCTTCAGGATTTTGGGGCAGGGGGTTGTGTTGTGGCGCTTTTTTAGTTCTTGTTTTTGGTTATTCGTCTTCCACAGCTCCCTGGCTTGAGGTTTGCAGGATAAGAGAGAAAGAAAATTATTCTATCATTCTTAACTGGCCATGTAGCCTTAATAAGCCAGCTAAATTTATTTATCCAGAAATATCTGTTATCCCACTTGATTGTCTGAAGTAGCCAGTGCCAAAAGATGACCAAAGAGAAAGTCCTCTTTCCTGCTCCTTCCCCGCTTGCACCCCAGGGAAGGGATTGCAGTTTTTAGAAACAGGTTTTGCATTTGCAGCAGAAGGCTTGGGTTACTGACACTGGATTTCACTTGTCTGTATTTTTTGTCTCTACTCCAGGGGTGTTGGATTGTTTGTTGGAGTGGATCTGGTGAAAGATCAACAAAAGCGAACACCAGCCACAGCTGAAGCCCTTCACCTTATTTACAAGTAAATGGTTTCTAAAGATTATATGCAGTGATCAAACCCTCCTAATATTCCCCAGCAGTTAGTCATTAATTTCAGTTTAAATTTGTGTAGCTTTTGATAACACAGTACTAGAAAAAGAAAAGTTTCAAAATCTAACTCAGCCTCAAGGATCTGTCTGACAGGACACAATATAGTTTTATACCTGTGTCTAACACAGATGTTTCTTCTTTCCACAGGCTGAAAGAGCATCAAATCCTTCTTAGTGCAGATGGACCCCACAGAAATATACTAAAATTTAAACCACCAATGTGTTTCACAATGGAAGATGCAAAACACGTAGTGGAGACAATTGATGCACTTCTCACAGGTATGTATGTTTTAGTGCTCAGAGGAATACTCTTCTTTGTTCATTTCCAGATGACCCATTAGAAACACCAGCCACCATAATCTAGACCATTACGTGCAAGGGAAAGTAATCAATTACATTTCTTACCACTTGTCCAAACTGCTGTTCTTAATGCCAATTATTATAAATAAATAAAAGGCCCCATATGTACTTCATCCAGACTTCTAGGCAAAATCCTGCTCTTGATCCTTTCTCTCACAGACTCAGTGTTACTACTTATTTCTGGTCGCATATGCTATATGTTAAGGAGCGAATACATTAATTCAGCACAGGCCTGAAAGACACTGCTGAAACACTGTTGAAACTTTCCGTAATGTGCTCTACCTTTTTTTTGTTTAACTGGCATACTGGAACATGATTGTCTCACTCAAATTTAGCCTGAAGGTTTTCAAGCTCTATTTATCTTCTACCTGGGGACCAATCCAGGGAAAAATAATATGTCAGGTATACTATTAGTGTAAGGACCCTCGAAGCCCATTCTACATCGAACGCTCCCATCTCCTGAGATTATAACAACTGGAGTTAGACTAGCATGAACCTGGACAAAGGCAGAATTCGGCTCTGAAGGTCTATCTGAACCCCCATGCTACAGTCAAGCTGCTGATCTTGTTCTTTTCTCTAAACACCCCCAAGCTACACAGTCCTGATACATTAATCACCTTGCCACAAAAAATGTTTTAGGAAATATTCATCGTTCTTCAGTTATTCTTCTGTGTGATAAATGCACAGAGGAATAGCTGATTAGGTATTTTTTACTTCAGCCAGCTGTTAAATTGACTGTATGCTTACTTACCTGTGATTCTTTTTAATTAATTATTTTATTACTTTTTTTAGAAATGGAAGAGGCAACTGGAATGAAGACAGAAAATAATGCATCTAAAAATGCACAGTGTAAAAGAAAAGTATGTTTTGAATTTTTTTTTAACTCTTATTCAGATAGGTGTTTGGCAAATCAAGTATAAATTACTTTGGTAGAGCACACCTTCGTTTTTGGTGGTGTGAGTGCTTCTGTGCCTTGAAACTGAGCTCAGAACATAATCCGCTACTAGAAACCCAAGAGGATTGTGTTACTGGGGCAAATCTAAAAAGGGCTGAGTAATACAGACCTACAACAAGAAACATATTATAGACAAGGCCCTCGCCTTGTCTGCAGAGAAGACCAGCCAGACTTTGGGCTGCACAAAATTGTGAGCTCAGCAGTCAACTATTTTACTAGTTCTAGGTACTGTGTGCTACTGATGGCTATTTGGCTTTCTAAGCAAGCCTTCAGCCTGGAAGGTGTCCAAGTTTTCAGAGAGTTCCAAGGATTTCGTTTCCATCATAGCACTTTGAGTACGAATGGCTGACATGCATCCAAATTAGGACTTCTTAGGTTGCAGCCCCAGCTTTGGATAACTCATATATAATTTCTGACCCCCTTAAAAACACATCACCCACTGTGTTATAGGAAAGCTTGCTGAGCTGTCCTTTGGTGAGTTTTCCAGTGATGCTGCGAATGGTGGGAAGGCAATAGGGATTTAGTAATTAAGGCAGAGACCCTATGGATTACTGGCTATCATCTAGATTATACTAGATTTGGGGTGCAACCCTCCTCTTACAGACATTTGTACACATTCAGTTCAATTTCTTTCAAAGCTAAGAAGTTGGGCCACTAAAAGAGGAGGGTCAGGCAGAGCTACCTAATGGGAACCAAGTCCAATGGCTGACTGTTGGAAGACATGCACGTACCTTCACTGACACTTCATTTCTGTTTCAGACAACTGAAGGGAGTTCTCAACCAGAAGGTGCAAATGAAAGCATCGGCCATATGAATGGAGCTGCCTGCAGACAAGAAAATGGGCTTTATTCTAAAAAACCCTCGCTGTCAAGTAAAAGAATAAGAACATGAAGAGGGAAAGTTTCCTCATTCAGTTTGAATTTGTGTCCAGCTTGCTTTTGAGAGGAAGAGTGCAATAGTCCAAGTCTTAGGATCTGTTTGAAGCCTAGTCCTACTTTCATAAACTGGCTGAATTCCTATTAGCTTCAATAGGAGTTTAAAATACCTTTTCAGATACATGAGACCTGCACCACATGGCTTGAAATCTAGAAGTGACAGAATAGACAAGTGATATAGAAATACCTTAGTGCTGATGGCAGGCTTGTCATAGGTACACAAACTCAGTGAAATCTGTGGATTTACCCACATTACACAGAATCTGAATTGCTTAACGACCATACAAGCAATGCCAATCCTATTATTAAAATTATATGCTTAACATGCTATTTTTACAATATTTTAAGTTTCAATATGTAATATTGAGATGTTAATTACTTCCCATGTTTTAATGGCTGAATTCTTAAAAAAAAAGCTTGAGAGAGAAATCATTATTATCTTCCAGTGTAACTTAGGTCCTATGGATCATATTCCCAGCTGATGTAAATTGGTGTAGCTTTGTTAATGTCAACGATGCTTTACCAAGAGTCTACCACTGTGTGTGTAGAGACGCAACGTTTATGCCGGGCATTCTCACTTTATGTTCAAAGAAAATGAAGAATCTGGATCCTAATTTTCTATAGATAAAGCCACTTTTATAGATAACTATTTATATAGAGTAAGATTTTATGATTTTTTTTCCAAAAGTTTATATATTGAACCCTCTCAGTCCAAAAAATATGCAAGTAGAGTATATATCATTTCAGACACACTGATTGAATTAACCTGAGGGTCTCTCAAAATTAAGTTCCCAGGGACAGCCCAGCTTGCATTCCAATGGATTTTAGTTGTTTTGACAGTTGTGGGAATTACTGCCTGATCCTGTTGTAGCAATGCTGTTACTTTTTGTCAGTGCTGATGAAGAGTCGCATACAAGTTGAATGGAATCTTGACACATAAATGGCTATGCTAACATTTGACAGATTACTAAAATGAGAGGTCCACTGCATAAAACATGCATGCAACCACTTTGCAGCCACTGCCTATCTCTGCTGCAGATACTTTAGACTGACTTGTCTCCTTGTCAGTGTTAAATTTCAACAAGAGCACACAAGTCCTGCTTCTCTTTTTTAGTACATGCACAACTCCATGCTATGGAAGACACTGAGGGCTTTACAAATGGTTTGTACTTCAGAAAAAAAAAGAGAAAATGTATTATTTCCTCTTCAATTTTAATACCCTAAGTTCTGCTGTTTGTATTTGCTGCTACTGACCCTACTGGTATGACTGAAAATTGAGCACCTTATCTAATTTCATGTTTTCTACAATTTGCTATATTAATATTGATGTTTCCAGTGTAACATCTTCCAACATCCGCAAGCGGGCTTATCTTCTGTTTCATGATCCTTGAATAATTCTGCCATAAAAATAAATCTCTTATTTGCAATTATGATGTCCTCCACAAAGAGGCTGTTTGTTCTAATTTTATTCTTCAGTAACACCTATTTGATGAGGGAGGTAACTTCAGTTTTGGCTGTGGGTTGTCTCCATACCAAAGCAGAACTGGCTAGGCTGCGTCTCCCTGAGACCCTACACAGTCCTCAGCTGTTGGCAGCGCTTACCCTCCAAGCCAGATGTTACCTCAGCTGCCACAATTCAGCCCCTGCTAACCCAGCACCAGGAAGGGTGCCACAGGTCTCTTCCAACATGAAACTACACAAAGATCTAAGTCAACCTAATTTGGTATGTGTCCGAAGGCACAGTTTAGGTCACTCCCCATATGGAGTGGGGCTACTTGCATCACACCTCCTCCACTGCATGCAGCAGCAGCAGCATGCGCTTCCCTGCAAGCAAATGCTTGTGCGATTTATCAGAAGGGTTAAGCTCAAGGCACACAGCCCACCGGTCTATACTATGGCACTGACTGTTGTAGCAGGTCATTAATATTTAATTTTCAAAAGCATATCAAAGAACTAGAAGAAAAAATCCAATTAGCCTAAATCTGAGGGGAGGTGAAGATTACAACTTCATAAACACAAGGGGCCTGTGCCTCTACCTCTATGCTACCTATCTTGCTTCTGCACATGCTTGAAATACATAGAACAGCCATTGCTCCAATTTACTAGTGTTTTTCACCCAGTTTTTGCTTCACAAGTCAGGAAGGTCTCTACTTATTGGTTCTGCTCATTATGCAAGGTGCGAGTTACCTAGAACTAAAAGTCTTCTATTTTCTTTAAACAAGAAAGGCTATCACTTCTAACATACACCCTGAAAAAAACCCACTGTCATTTAAATGGAGGAACCAATCCAACAGTTAGTTACCAGGAGTCGAGCTGGACCTACTAGAATTATTATTACTATATCACTGTTAATATCCCCACAGTATCTCAGAGTCCACCAGCAAGATATGCACAATCCATACTGTGAAGGGCTTACTAATTAGAAGAGACTGACTAAAGGATGGGAGAGTGGAAGCAGAAATAATTAAGGCTAAACACAGAGAGCGCCATTCCAGTCAGCTGAACTGATCAAATATATTCCCTCCACTGAACAGGCAATGCTTTTTTCCCCCTTCCCAGCTCTCTGTTTCCCTTTTTCTTCTTTCTACCTCTCCTGTCCTGGCTGTGCAATTCCTGGTTTTAGCCATATAGTTCCACCTCCATCCTAGCCCTTATATTCAGCAGATAGATACCTCTGTCAGCCAGTTCTACTCACTAACCTTGCAGAAAAAAATAAGACCAGACTTTTTTCCCCATCAGTTTTCTGCAAGGCTAATGAACAGGCTCATGGAGGACGCCTGAGCCTGCACAGGACATGCAGCAGGAGGAAGAGACAGCGGCGTGAGGGAAAGGCAGGACTCCATCCCAAGAGAGCATCACACACTGGAGTTAGTTATTTATATGTTCACTCTAGCTCATCATCCTACTGGAAGCTGAATCAAGATACTTTTAGTGCATTCTCATAGTTCACCACTGTTTCACTCATTTTTATATTGCACTTTTAAAACTTTTAAGCAAACAGACTGGTTAGAATAAGGGAAAAAGAAAGGACAGTGGTTGCTGCAAATACTGATGAAAGAGTGACACTGTGAGAGTCTGAACCCACTGCCAGTCGATTCCCCTACATAAAAGCAAGTGGGACTGAACCTGTGCAGAGTCAGAAAGCTGTGCCTTAACCAGCATTGTTCTGGGGGGAAGAATCAGGATCAAAAGTTGCCATGTCAACACAACACCACTGAACTGCCAAGGAAACAGCATGCAGCATGTTCACATCTGGGGGAAAAAAGCCTCAGCTTTAGCTCCATTAAACATTGCAATGGAAATACACTGAGTAAAAGAATTATTTTGTCTGTTGCTTTTTAGATGTATAGTTTCTTAGCCATACAACACAGTCTTATCAGATAATACATTTATAATCTTCACAGCTGTTAAGCTTGGTGACTGCACACTAACAGACAGCCCCAACACACCAAAGTCCAGAGGGGAAAAGTCACCCCCCCACACACACACACCCGCCACAGAAGAAGCAAGGTCTGATGATATATCTGGTGAAAAAAGGGAGATGAATGAAGAGGACCAAGTGACAAGCCTGAAACACTTATTTTTACATGTGCTGTTGCAATGTGCAAAGCATTTCTGTTCCAAAAAAAACCCAAAAACCAACAAAAACCCCACCATCATAAAGCAGTGACAAAATTTCATTTTTAATGTGGTAAAAGCCTGGGTCAAATGTCTGACTGGGCCTGGGACACCTTCATCTAAACCCACAGCTTTCAGCACCAACATGCAAAAAATAGAGCCTAGAAGAAGAAGACAAAAATACCCATCAGAAAAATATTTCTAAGTAGAGAAGGTTGTTTAAGTGTCTCTTGCAAAATGGGACACAAGAATTTGTCCAGGCATCTCTTGAATAGTAAGCTCCCAGTGCTGCAGATACTCTAAGCTAAGAGCTGAAAAAACAGAAACTGTTAAAGAAGCTGCATTCAGCAATATACTAGAGAAGACAAAGTAAGGAACTGGGATGTCAATGAAAGAGTATTCATTATACTGTACAGTTATGTGTTGTGTATATGTATGTAAGCATAATTGATCTATCATCTTGTTGGTTTTTTTTCTCCATTTAATATAATAATTTAGAAAAAACAAGTGACTAATGCTTGCAAGCAAAGCAGATGATTAGTTCATAGCAGCAGAAACATTAGTTTAATTTTCCAGGTTTCTCAGTGATGACTTTAGCAGGTGTTCTAGTAGTGTCCCCTTTCAACCTGGACCCGGCCTGTGCTGCTGCCAGCCAAGCTCTGGCAGAAGGATTATACAAGGGAAGACAAGGCCAAATGACTGTGACCGAATTTCCCTATTTCTGCTTGTCATGGTTTACCCCCAGCCAGCAACGAAGCACCACGCAGCAAATTGCTCACTCCCCTCCCCTCCCCCCCCCAGTGGGATGGGGAGGAGAATTGGGAAAAAAAGAAGTAAAACTCATGGGTTGAGATAAGAATCGTTTAATAAAAATAAATAACCCTTAAAAAATGGTTTAATAAAAATTAAAAAATAAAATATAATAATAACAATAATAATAGTAATGAAAAGGAATATAACAAAAAAAAGAGAGAGAAAGAAAACCTAAGAAAATACAAGTGATGCACAATGCAGTTGCTCACCACCTGCTGACTGATGCCCAAGCAGAGATCCGCGCCTCCTGGCCAACTCCCCCCAGTTTATATAGTGAGCATGATGTTCTATGGTATGGAATATCCCATTGGCTAGTTCGGGTCAGCTGTCCTGACATGCTCCCTCTCAGCTTCTTGTACACCTGCTTGCTGGCAGAACATAGGAAACAGAAAAATCTTAACTTAGGATAAGCGCTACTTAGCAACAACTAAAACATCAGTGTTATATCAACTTTATTCTCACACTAAATCCAAAACACACTGAACCAGCTACTAAGAAGAAAATTAACTCTATCCCAGCCAAAACCAGGACACTGCTACCCATACACATCTGTATTTTCCCACCTGAAAAAATGTGATTTTGTTGATGCCTGTGGTTCAGCAGAAAAGCTGAATTAGAAAAGACAAGTTATGTTTTTGCATTTCTCACTGACTCATGGTGTGACTGAACTGTGTCATGTCATCTCAGTAGGATTCAGCTTCCAGAGATGCAGGGTATCTTACAAAGGCCATGAGAGAGAAGTCTACAGAGGAGGACTCTTCATGTTGATATTTTGTAAGGAAACACATCTGAGCCTACATG